GCTACAATGTTCATGCCTCTGAACAGTCAGTGTCCCCATCTGTACCAGGCAGGATGTATCGACCTTATTCCTGTCAAAACAAAGGCGAATTTGCTGTCTGCTTTACACCCATTCACTGCAATACACATCCAAAAACGAGGTGATACTGAAGCGCTCGCTTTGCTGCTCATTAACTGCCTTATTTCTCAATGGGGCCTTGCAGGGAAAGTCAAGCAGGATTTGAGGAAGGAGGGACAGCTTTCTGCTCCAGGTGGGTCCAAGCACGGCACGGGGCACAGGCAGGAAGCAGCAAGCTGTCCAGGTACCCACTGACAAGGGCCCACTGCTGGAGAGCTGCAAACAATCCCAGTAGTGGATTTTCCAGGATCACGGCGCCCTGCAGCAGCGCTGTGAACGCCACAAGCTCTGTAGCACTGCTCCACAGTCACGGTGGCTTTTAATGCCAGTATTTTTCCACAACGCTGCTTTGTTTGTCAGGTAACACAATTTTCTCTGTATGAAAATTCATTTTCTTAGTCATGAGTAAACAGACAGGTTTTGGAGGAAGCGATGCCAGCAGGTAACGGGCAGAGAGCCGCTGCTCCCTTGCACTTACACACTCAATAGCCCAGCTGTCCCAGAGCCACTGCCCTGCTCAGCCCTCAGCACGCTGCCGTGGCTCCTGGGCACGCAGGAACAATGGGAACAGAAATGCTTCCACCGCCCTGAACATAGGTTTGCATTTGTTCGTTTTGTTGCTAAAAATGCTCCAGTCACATGGGAATGCCTGGGAATGCAGCCCAGGAATTTTGTTTGTAAGCAGAACTGCATTTCTGGAGATTATTGACCTGAACTGTAAATAAATATTCTGAAAAATATTAGAAAGGTTCACGATTTACGGTCCTTGAGATCATCTTTTCAATCCCAAACAGTTGGCAGGGTTCCCCACAGCCCCTCATCCATCTCCCTGCAGGTAAACAGCCCCATTCCCCTGCACTGCTACTGAGCAGATCCAGCATCTCGTCCAGAGCCTGTGATGGCAAAATCCATATCTCAGATTCCCAGAGTTCTGCCTGATAACACACTTTGTTGCTCTGCCAGTTGGGCAGTGGCAAAAATCACAGCAGCTTCAGCAGAGGATCCTGTCTGCTCATCACTGCCAGCCCCTACCTTCCTCTCCACCTCTCCCCGTGCAAACTACAGCTATGCACAGTCACGAATCTAAAAACCTTCATTCCTGTAAGGCACCAACTTCTGCTTTTGCCATTTTTCATCTCAGTGAATTGCAAATGCCTCTGCTCCGCTGAGGTCAGATCTTGAGACTGAGAGAAAGCATCACCCAGGCTGCCATCCACCAAGAAAGGAAACAAATCAGAGAACATCTTCAAACTGGCAACGTTTTGAAAAGCAAATGCAAAGACAGCGTGCTCAACTGGAAGGAAGGATGCCAGGCAAGTCAGGTGAAAGTGCAAGAACTAAAGAACTGTAATACCTGATCCTGCAGAAAACATGCATGCATCGGGCTTGCAACCCAACAATCCCAGTGCTGTGACTGGGAAGTGTATTGCAGCACTTGCAGCTAACTGCACACGTCTGCAGATGGAGGAGTCCTTCGTTTGAGCAGTGAGCAGTTACATGTTTTGGGGCTTACAGGTCACACGGCTCTTCTGCTCAGCTCCATGGGACCCCGTAGCCTTCATTTTATATATTTTTATCCGGTTTTGCTGAGCTCATGGTTTAGTTAATGGCATAGGTTTGGTTACTGCAGTTGTTCATAAACACTAAATTATTCATGTAGAACCAGGTCAATAGATATTAAAAGCTGAAGCAAATACCAAAACAGAAGTCAATGGTGAACTACTGCAGAAAGCAAAGTGCTGGTGTAATGATTCCATCTCAGAGACAGCCCTCATAGGCTGCCATGAGTCAGCTGCAGGCACCGGGAGCCACCTGACAGCACCAGCGAGGGGACGTGCCTCAGAAAACATTTCCCCCTGGGGACACCCCAGTGTGCCTCAGGAGCCCCCAGCCTGCCCTGAGGCGTTGTGTCCCTTCGTCTCTCTGCCTTCCTCTTCTGAGCACAACCTCCCAGCTCACCCTGCGGGCAAACAGAACTTTGTTTGGGTTCTGGTTTGCTTGCTTGAAATCTGCTCCTGAGGAAGTGGCACGGAAGCACACACAACAGATTGCGGTTGCAGCGCCAGTTCAGGACTGAAGGGCATCCCCAGACCAGGCTGTGACATCCTTGTTGGCTGTGAGCCCACGCCTTGCAGCAGCAGATACTTTCAATCCTTGTGCTAGAGCTCAAATATAAGAGCCAATGCCTCCACAGCCAGGTAAAGCCACAGAGCACGGAGCCTTCCCCTACCAGGGAAGGAAGGAAGCGGAGAAGAGTCAGTGTTAATTATGTAAAATAAGATGTGACTTCAAGGATGTGAGTAATGTCTGGGTACAGACAACAGGTGCCTGATAGGGCAGCAGGAAGCACGGAGCTTTCATCCGCACCGCAGCAGCGGACAGCTGAGATAGCAGCTCGTGTCACTGAGATAATGACATTTAGTCACCTCCAGGGTGGATTGCGAAGTCTGCGGAGGAGTTTGGAGCAGAGGGGACACTGCTGCCTCATATCAGCAAGCCAGGCTTTGGACAGCAGCCATACACAGCAGTGTTTCAAAGCAAGATAGAGCCCAGCACCTCTCCTTCCCATTGCATTACTGTGGGAACGGGTCTGGCACTGCCCCTCACCCACAGCAATACAAGGTCTGCTCCAGCCGTCCCTGCTGGGTTGCACAGGGGAGCTCACGGAAGCAGAAACTCCTGGGGGAGCAGCCCCACACCAGCAGTGCTCAGCCCTCACACCCCTCCATCTCAGCACACACTTTTCCGCCTCTTGCTCTGTGGCACTTAAGCTCAGCATCTCAGCACAGCCCCAGTTCAGGCTGTGGCAAGCAGGGTCACACACCAGTTGTCAACACAGCAGTCACCATTTTGCCAGTATAGTCACCATTCCCATTTACCTCCAGCTATCAGAGAGGCCCATTGCTGTCAGCAATGCGATAGAGGAGCGCCCTCCTAGTGCCCATCACACAGATATTTGACACAATACATCAGTAAACATCCCAACATTTCTTAGTCTCCCTATGGCTAGAATCCTCGCAGGGTCAAACCCTGCAGAAGCACATGGTGCCACCCAGGGTGGATTTTGCAGTTCGGGTCTCATGGGGAAATGATTATTGCAACTGTGATCTGCCCTCACCATCACTGTACTAATCACTCAACACAGAAATCAGCATTCATACATAAAAGCTTTTAGTTCAGTGATGTTTGGCTCTCACGTTGCTGCAGTGTTACTGCAGAACTCAAAGCAACGTTCGAACCTCACACGGAAACAAGGGCCAAGAAGCACGGTGAGAAATCAGGGCAGGTCTGTTGCTCAGGCATTGGGCCTTTCATCGTTGAGCCTGCTTCATGCAGCAAAAGGTAATTCTTGAGGAATTACAATTCCATCACGTTGTATTCTGAGGGTCTCCCTCCCAGCTTCTTAAAACTGTATTTCCTTTTATTGCCCTTTACTTGCTAATTTTCAAAACCAGACAGAATTCCCGACCTTCAAAAAGCACACTGTAAAGCCTACCAATAACAAAGCAAGCCATGAACAGCCATATTCTCTAAAGAGAAAGCATCAATCCTGTGTATTTGAACTCAGTAGTGTTTTGAGTACGGCTCAGATAATTCTTTAGAGGCTCCCTTTCTTCTGTCCTTTCCTCGTCAAACTGCATCTGCCCACGACCCACAGCTGCTGCTCCCCCTCGGAATAATGTCTGTCCTTAGAGATAAATACGCACGCAACCAAACGATTGGTCTTTGAGCGCAAGCTTCCGTAGGGAGAAACCTTCCCAGGAGGCGGATTGCAGTAAGGGGCAGCGCTCACACCGGCAGTGCTGAACGCGGACCTTCCCTCACTGCGGTGTGAGCTATTAAATGCGTGCTGTAAAACGACAAAGAGGTTGTTGTGTACGCTGAATTTTACTCTTCTCACATATTAAAAAAATACATCATTATTCCTCGTGCGTTTTCCCTGTAAAGCAACGTGCTCCTGAGGGAGCAAACGCCAGCCCGGGGCCATTCTGCACCAGCTGAGAATTGAAGGAGGGTCTCCATTTCCTGAATAGGATCTGAAGCACGTAAGGGCAGAGCGCGCAGTCAGGGCCAGGTTTGCAGGGGAGCCCCGCACCTACCAGCAAGCAGCTATTGTTTGCTGAAGACCATTCGAAAACCTGATCCGGGGGCTGCCTTACACTGCGCCCAGCGGGGCTGACAGCAGCCTCGGCAAGGAAACGGCTGCAAAGCTGAGAGCGGCACCGCGACGCCTCTCTTCCATCGGGCGGGACCACATCTCTGAGGCTCTGCGCGATCTGCACAGCTCTGCCCTTGGTCTTCTCAAAGGAGAAGAGCCATGAAATAAATCCACACGCCACACATGTAACGCAAACGTAGCCTCAGCTTTTCCTTGCTTTTTCATACCGATGATGCCAGCACGACACGCAAGCTGCTATGTACGAGCAGAAGGAGGTGCGTGTGCGGTACCACCGCAACGGGCCGCAGCCCGGACAGCACGGCTGCCCCCCAGCCTCGCTCCGTGCCCGCAGCTACGGGGGGGCCGGGGCCGCCGCTGCCCCCCGCCCTGAGCCGCCGTTACCTTCAGGCCGGGCAGAGGGCGCGGTACGCGCGCAGCTGTCACCGCCTGCCCTCCATTCACAAAACGACGAAATAAATAAATAAGCGGGGGATGGGGACACGCGAACAGCGAGCGAGAGCCGTACCCGTCCTCCGCGGCTCGCAGCCAGTCTCTCTCCAGCCCCCCATTCATAAAAGGGAGCCGCGCATGCGCCGTGGCGCCTCGGTGCCCACCCATTCATAGAGTAGGGAGGCTGCGCCTGCGCAGTGGGGGCCGCTGCCCTCCCATTCATAAAATAGCCATTTTCCCAGGCAGCGGCTTTGCAGCACCGCGGCGGAGCGGGGGCAGCGGAGCCGCTGTCAGAGCCGCGCTCGCAGCCCCGGTCCCGGAGGGCTCCGCTCGCGTTGCAGAGATGCTCCTGGCTGGGATCCCTCGGGTAAGTGCGGGATTCGCGCTCGGGGGAAATGTTACGTGGATTTAAACTGGGAAAAATCAAGCCTGCTCCCCGAGGGAAAATCTCGCACTCCTTCTAGATGGATTTGTCCGTCCCCTTAGAGATCGCTGATCGCAAGCGTATTCCGCACCGTGACTTCTCTAACAGCGATTATCTGTAATTATATACAGTAGAGAGCTGCCCGGTGCTCCGCAGTCCAGAGGAGACTTCACATTCTGAAGAAATCTCCCTTTTCCTGCAGAATTTACATTTCTGTTCCTGTAATTCTTATTTATGCCTCTCTTCTACGTTCTCCCAACATCTGCATTCAGGGGATGGCAGAGGCAGGCAGTGCTGGCCCTACTTGCGGCAGGGCGATTCGTAGGGCTTTCCTACCAGAGCAACACTTCTCTCCCTGGTGATGGGGTGTCCTCTTCTCCTTTCTCTTCAGATAAAGGATCATAAATGTGTGGTCGCTTGGGCTGACAAATAAGAATTGGGTATTTCTCACTGTGGAATATGAATGCTGCTTTACCTACTTTCTCTCTTTTCCAAAGCCCTCTGTCCTGGTTGTGTCATGGAGTTCTGAGCTCTCCATGACAGGACACTCCAGAAATCAGGCACTGGTGTGTCAGGTCTCTCCTGTGTGACCTTTGCTCTTCAGCATTTTATTTCACACAGCTGTCTTTTTTTTTTTTTTTTTTCCCTGGCCTTTGTGCCTGATTCTGCCATCATCATTCTGGTCCCTATTTTGCTGTACATTTGGCTACCTCGGTGTTAAATCTGGATGGATTCTGTATCTTAAAGGCTAAATAAGCAATAAAAATGTGTGTATAGAATCATTTCATAAAGGTAAATGGAATGTGTTATGGATGGAGGGGAAATGTGTCTAGGCTGCTCTTCTCTACCAACTGCGTAGCAGAGATAAGCCAGGATTTTATTTTCTGGTACTAGTCCCGGCATCACAGGAGAAAGGCAAGCCTGGAGACGACATGTTCTGAAAATTCATTATCAGAAGGGGAATGGAAAAAGCAGACGGGGCATAAAAAGGCACAAAGGTCTTGGAGGAAAGCGGGACTGGAAATGCAGACCTTGGAAATGACAGTGCAAATGAATACCAGCATTAATCAGCAGAAGGAAAAAGCGTGGTGCTTTTTCCTCGAGTGACCAAGAGATGGGTCTCGTTTCTGGATTGATATCTTTTATGGATTCAACTTCTGCTTTAAGGGCTGTAGGAGAGGAAGGTGGAGAAATGGAAGACATCACTGATTAATCCAGAGCACAGAAGGCACGTTCTAGATTCTTTAAAACTTCTCCAGCTGCTGCCATTCTTCCAAACCACGCTAAGGGTGCAGGATGTCAAAAAATCAGCTTAGAATGGTGGTTTAATTAGGCAAAGGGAAATTTCCCAATATCGAGGCTCCCCCCTAGCTCTATATTTTGGGTTGAAGAATAAAGTTATAATTTGTGCCTGAATCACAGTGATCTTGATGACTGGCTTCCTCCTTCTCCATATAAAAATGACTGATAGCAGGAGGAGGGGCTGTTCTCAGCTATTGGAACCCCACTGGGGACGTCTCATTGATAGATGTGCCATTTTCCACGGGCTACTGTGTTTCTGTTGCTAGAAAGGACTCTATATTGGTAATGTAAAATCAAATGCACTATTTCTGAGCGCTGCAGTCCTTCTGAAATTCTGTGTGAGGTTTGTGCATGGGAGAAATAATTTGCTCTCCTCCTGAAACTGCAGAACAAAAGCTGTTTTTATGGAATAGTGACTGATTCCTGGATCACGCTGGGAAACGTTGCGTCTCCAAAAGCAGCCCCCCCCCCCCCCCCCAACCACCTCCCAGATAAAACTGCAATCTCTTCAGTGAAATGAAATTCGCCACCTCTGCAACACTACAGCAATAATTAATTCACAGCTCTGATGGTTTCCAAATACTGACCATAAAAGCCTAACATTCATTAATCACATTGCTGTGCGATTTTCCAGATTCAGCCCTATCCTTCAGCTTGCCTTTTTATAGGCAAGCAGTCACACAAGTGTTGCTTGTTTGTTCCTTTTCAATGCAACACGACGTAATTCCGTCAGATAATAAAATCCTTATAATACGGTCATCATTTGGTACCATTAGCTTAATAGATCACATCTGAGCTCAGTTTTCTGGCCTTAAAATAAATGTTCTTATCCAATAAAAGGCCTTTACTGAGAAATTTGAGTCCCTGGAGATCTGAATGTTCACTGGCCAAAATGTGCTTTATTCACTCACACCATAGGAACAGACTGGAGCTGGACAGAGACAGCTTCTTGGAAGTCGGCGGCTCTCATTTCCCAGCTCCTGAATCTCCCAGCTCTGGCAGCAGTGCAGGGCCTCCTTTCAAAAATGGCAGATTTCCCCAGTAAGCTTTCTAATTTTTTTTCCTCCTTATGAGTAGAGAAAATTCTAGCTGTCTTCGTGTAGACGAGGCTGTTAAGTGGGGGGGAAAAGGGTCAATACCAGCATTGTGTTAATGTCAATTCTCACTTCATGGAAAAGAGATTTTTTTTCTTTTTTATTTTTTAAATCTGCTTTTAAAGAATTCACTGCTCAACTCAAAATTTAAGCAGAATAAGTCAGTCTTAACGAACTCCAACCTCACACATCGCTCCGCATCGCACGTTTACAGCGCGCTTACCCAGGGGCCTCCTCCAGCTTCAAGCACAGCCTCCCTCATTAAAAACTTTTATTGAACCTTCTCCCTTGGGGCAGCAGCAGCACGTCCTCCTGCAGTGCAGAGCTCTGGGTCCTTCATGCCACCCGGAGGCCAAGGCCCTGCTGTCCCCCTGCAGCTCTCTGCGCCCGTGCTGCAGGAGGCGGCACACAGCACACGGCACGGCTGCTCCTCTGCCACCAGCAGGGCCCGGCTCTGCCTGCACCACGCTGTGCTGCACCCTGCGGGTCTTGCTGCTCTCTGTGCAGGTCCTGCTTTGTGGCAAGGAAGCTCTGGGCCCGGCTCTGCCTGCTGCACGTCCCACCCGCTTTCTCTCTTCCCACCCCCTCAGCCAGGAGCTGCTGATGGGAGAGCTGGCAGATGCAGAAGGCAGCACCTTTGAGTTGGCCCCAAAGCACCGTGGCTGCAGCTGAGAAGAACCCTTTCTAGATAAGATTTTCCAGACTATACAGCCAAACCAGCATAGAAGTGAGAATACAGGCATGACCGTTCCAGAAGTAGCAATAAATTAGAGGAAGGACCATTCACACAGGTTGCCATCGATTCTGAATGGTGCCAACATGCACAGGCTTTGGAATACGCACAGCCTCCCTTGACAACAAGATGCTCAAGCCTATTGTTTTCAATTATGACAGTTTCTTTGTATTCGGATGCATCTATAAAGACATCATTGTTGTGGTTTTTTTGATTCTTTTCCTTTTGAGACATTTCTGTCTCAAAATATCATATATCCCATTAGAGCGAAGAAAACAAGCAAATTTCCACAGTGCATTTACTGCCACTTTTGCTACAAATATTTTAATCTCCATTAGATGGCTGTCACTTTTCTCTGAGAGAATGGAATTCAGAATGCATGTGGATAACAGCAGGTCTAATGACAATAGCCAGGAGGAGGTGCAGCCTCGCTGTTGGGCAATAAGATGCCAGGGCCTCTGTGCCACCACTGAGCCACAGCAATGCTCCAGGGCCCTGGAAGGCTCTCTGTGACAGCAGTCAGGATTTGCCCTTTCATTTCTCTGCAGTAACTTCCCCATCCTTTCTTCACAAAAGTTTGTGGTGCTTCACAGTGTGGAAAAAATCTTGGAAGAACAGCAATCAAGTTCTTACTGAAAATTCAAGTTTGGTTTACTTTGCTGGAAACGCTTCTCCAGCTTACAGTAGGAAGGAAGGGGACTCTTCTGACCCTGTTACTTTTCTTCTCGCCCCACGTCATTATGGCAAGGAGCCTTGGGGTGGCTGCACAGATCCCATGGGCCCAGCAGCTCCAGCCCTACGGGACAGGTCTGGCTCAGCAGAGGTGCTAAGGCACAGCCCAGTGCCAGCAGCCCAGTGGAAATCTTCCTTAGGAAGAAATCAAGTGACTCCTGGTCGTCTGCCCTTTGTAAGTGTGAGTGCTGGGAATTTTTGGTGGCTGCGCTACTCCTGTGCTCATAACAGACCCCAAGCAGCCATCTGGGCTCTTCTTTTCTGTTACATTTAAGACTGAGCCCAGATGTGAGCACATCAGCATCTGCATGCTGAAGCTCTCATATCCCCCAGCAATGGCTGGGGCAGAGCAGCGCGCCCTGCATGGTGCTGGCTGCCTCACAGGACACGTTTTCCTCTTTTCCTGCTGACTTCAGTAGATGAGGCACTGAGGGGTTGCAGTCTCACATCAGTGCTTCCCACAGCCCAACCTGGGAACGTTTCTTCCACACAAGACCCAATTCCAGACACCAGAAGTCCTTTATTCTCATTATTTGTTTGTTACCACACATCTATAAAGCTGTTAAACGTACGAGGCCATATCAGAGCCATGAACTAATAGGTAATTGAGGCAGTTATGAACAGCATGCACATCTGCACTCATTAAACATGTACTTCGGGATCCTTTTTGTTTTTCAGTAACTGGAAGACAAGTTATCCCACATCACTTTGAAAATAAAAATGCCAGAACCTTATTGCTTTCAATTGCAGAAATGGCTCTGAATACATTAATGGGAATGAGCTTTCCTGTGGGTTATTATGGCTCTCTCACAGAATTGCCCACAAGGATGTCGCTTTCCATAACATTATGTAGGCAAGTCCAAAATCCTATTAAAACATAAGAACACTTTTGTTTCAACTTCATTTGACAAAAGAAAGAATCTTACGAAACTTCTGAGTCTGAAAACAACCACCAGAAGACTTCAAAACACCCACTGGTTTCCTACAACTCGAGGATTTGTAATCATCTTGTATAACAGGCATTTTAAATGGGCAATACCCAAACGGAGAGACGAAACAAGAACTGCAGCACGTTTATGGAGCTCTCTGAATCCAACATAGATCCTTTGGAAGGCAATATATTTTGACTTCAGAACGGTATGTGGGGAGCAGCCCTGCAGCTCCTGGATGGCACAGGGGGAGAGATTTTCTCTACATGGGACTGTGTTGATGTTTCTGCTTTGAAAAGAGCATCACTGTTTTACCTAGCTCTGAAGAATGAGTGAATCCCAATGTAAGAACATACGCCTGAATTTCCCTTCCTGTTGCCTGCTTACAGAAAATTGCCTGTACAATTGCATCCAGTGAATTTGTGCCCACGTTAATGGTATAATATGTTTGCAATTACTGATGATCAAAGGTTAACCAATTTTGTTTACAAGTACTGTGTATGGCATTTTTTCCTCAGAATTAAAATGCTATTTCCAGTCAGACTGAATTAGTGCAATGGATTACAAAGGCACTGCAGCAAGTTTCATAGCTTGTATGAAGTTATAGTGCTTAAGTATCCTGGATCTCCTCGGTTATCTCCTTGGATTCCACCTGATTATTTCTTCTATTTTTCTGCTCTCCTCAATCTACAATTTCCTCTAAATGCAACATCTCACTGCACTAAATCCATTCAATCCGAGCAATTAATCCAGTCTCTCTGAACGTTACCAAACTGATGCTGCCAGAAAGAGCCCTGTTCCCAACACCAGCAGCACGAAGCGCAGGGCCCAGCAGGCTGCTCTGAGCGGCTGGGCTCAGCCTTGAGCCAAGGAACCCCCGGCTCTTGTCCTTTGCCAAGGGCTGACGTTCAGCCTGCTCACCCCGAGCGCCAGCTGGGTGGGAGATGCGGTGCAGCAGGAGCCGCAGGTTCAGGAACCTCTGTGCAGCAGCGCCATCCTCACTGGTGGATGTCCGTGCACAGAATGCTCCTGGCAGGGAGCAGGGAAGGGCACAGCGTCCCACTCCTGGGACAGGAACAAGTGAATGTCTTACTCCTGCCTCCCCGCAGCTGCCTGGTGTCCCCATACATCCCTGCAGGCCGACTGCCTTTCGCAAGCAGACTCGCCTGTTTGTTCCAGCCATCCTGGCACTGGTTTGCAGCCACATTTTTCCCCCAAGGAACAAAATAACCAAAGAAGGACCAAGTGCTGATGCCTTCGGGGTGTCCCAGGGCAGGATGTCAGCATTCTCAGGCAGGTACACCTCAGCCTGCAAGAACTCATGGGAGCAGTCTAACTCTCAACTTGTTCCTGGTCCAACGCAAGCTCTTAACCAGAGCTCCCTGGGATCCCTGCTGTGTGTGAGGGAAGCACCCATCTCCTGCAGTACAGCCACAGCAGCCCTGTACCCCTCACTGTGCCACACATTTCTCTGAGTTCAGCCTGCTAACAGCTGGCAGGACTGACTGATGCCTGCCACAAAATCCAAAATCTCTTTTCCTAGGATGCAGGCATCAGGCTGAAAGCAGCTCAAGGAAAGACGTAGCTTTAGGGATGTGCCAGTGGGAGCATGCAGAAACTGAAACAAGCACACCGTAAGCTGCCATCATTGTTCCCATACACAGACCCCACAGGCAGGCCCAACACCCAGCTCAGCTCCAGAGATGCGTGACCTGGATCTGTCACCAACAATCTCACTGCAGTGCTGAGACCTCTGACAACAAGGCCACAGCAGCAGCATGGTCGCAGTCCTTGGAAAATCCCCTAAATATCAGTGATGTGCTTTGTTGACGTGTAACTCGTGAAGTGAGAGCAGCTAACTGTGGAATTCTTTGCTTGGCAATGAGGACTGGGCAGAAAGGAGGGACTGAGTGGGGCCGAACCGGTGGGTGTGAAAGTGCGGTGTCTGAAAGCTGAGCTGCTGCAAGGCAGACAAAGTCTGCAGGAGGGGTCAGGTAATTAGGAGAGCTGGATCTCACCTGGATCCAAAGGCTTTATCTGAAAGGATCCCGAGCCCAAATACCTGTGGGCTCTGCCCCACAAGCATTTTTTTCTCTTAGAAGGACAATTTGAAGCAGTATTCTAATGAAAAGGAAAAAAAAAAAAAGATGATGAATCATTTTCAGCATTAACTGTCCTGAAGTGGGGTACTTCGTGTAGGGTTCATCTCCTTCCTGTGGTAACTAACACTGAAATCCTGATTAGCGTTATCTTTTGAAGTCTTCCTCACATGGCTGTGTCTGAGCACACAGCACTGCTGGTTTTGGGGGTTTGGGAGTGACACACTCACTGCCTACGGCCACCAATTAACGTGATGATGTACCTTCAAGTGACAGCACTGGTAGTGCTGGGCCACTGCTGGCCACACAGCTCCAAAGCTGATGGAAACCAACCTGTTTGGTTGCCACAGTCCGTAGCACAGAGCACTGTTGGCAGTCAGCCTCACGTCCACCCCACGGCCAGAGGTGTGGGACAAACTGCACCGCTCTGCACAGCGCACCTCAAGGTAAATGATCTACGGATCCAGTCTGAACCTACAGCATGAGGACCAAACTCCAGAGACCACAGCAAGCGGGGCTGAACCCAGCCGGAGCACAGAGTCACACGTGAGAAGTGATCCGGGAGCTGTGGGGAGCTGAGGAAGGCAGCAGGAAGGACAGACGGACAGAGCAGCACGCCACCCCTCCGCTCGCCACTTCCTTCCCTTACCTCCCATCTTCAGCAGCTCTGCTGCACGGAGATGAGCCCAGCCAGCACAGCTGCCTCTCTTCAGAGGAAAGAAACAGCTGTGAAACCGCAGCCTTCCTGCGGCGCCCAGGGACGGAACGCACCGCTCCGCTGAGCTCAGCCTTGCTGCAAGTGTTTGTTATGTGACGTGGGGTTCTGATGCCCAGAAGGATGTTGCACTTTTTCCCCTCCACGTTCCCCGCAGTTGTCAGAATCATCGCTTATCTTTACTTATGAAATGCAGTGATTAGGAAATAGATGCTTTAAAAGCTCTTGTTGCCAAAGCATCAATGTATAATGAAATAAGTCTGGATGAATGAGAGAGACCCAGCAGAGAACATTGACTAGCAAAGAGGAGCAGCATGGCAGTGACCACTGCTGCAGGCAGAGGGGCGCTCTGCCCCCTCACGCTGTGCCATGCACTGCCCACACCTTGGAGCTCCTCCTGCAGGAGCCCATCTCCCATTGATCGCAGCCACACCGACGGGTTTGCAGCCCCTCCAAAGTCAAAGCAACCATTTGCAAAGATAACAGCAGGCCCTAGTAACATTTTTCCCTTTCTCTTTCTGAAAGTGTGCAGTTGTCCATGCTCCAATCACTGCAGTTGTTTTACATTTGGAGTTATATACATTTGGGGATATACTTTTACAGAAACATGCATTTTTCGTATACCAGCTGATCGCTGACCCGGTCCATACAGACCGCCCAGCATGGAGGCATTTAGTGCTATTGGAAAAGGTTCATTTATTTGCCTGAACACAAACAACTGGAAATGCCTTTGGCAGCTCCCTGCTTCCTTTTTCTTGATACCAAAGCCTTTCCCCTCCTGTAAAGCTCCGAAGCTTTACTCACCGCTTCTCTAAACTGATCTCCAACATTATATTATTTATGAATAAAGGTCACCCAGCGAGGAAATGGCACATCTACCAGAAAACAATGTGCACTTTCTAAATTTGAACCGAGTAGTTTCCGCTCTTTGATTTAAGTTTAGTTACTTCCTGTGGTTTCTTGTCCTACGCTGCTGTTGAATCTTTGGATCTCCTCCAGGATAAATTGCACTCTTTCAATGAAATTAGAAACTGTAGCAACAGAGGGCTCAGCTAGCAGAGCTGGTAAACAGCCCTGGAGCCAAATATCAGTGCGCTCGGTATTTTGAAGAAGAGCCCAAGCCCTGCAGGAGGCACAGCCCCACCTGGCTGCGTGCTCCCCAGCCCCCCCCCAGCCTGCTGCTCTTGTGCAACCCGAGAGCTGCTGAGTGGGATCTGCCTCCTCCCGCAGGAGGGATGGAAGCAGCCTTAAACCAGCAGCTCCCGGTGGGGATGGACGCTTCCTGAGGCTGAGCCGTCCTCGCACAGCTGATGCAGAGCCTGGGCTGCAAGGCAAGCATTACATCCCGTGCTCCTGTGAGGTTTTGTGCCTGCGAGCCGCTCTCTTGCATCATTTGGAAGGGGTCATTGTCAGCTGAGAGAAGCGCCCAGACACAGATAAGTCATTTCAAGCAGTTTGCCAACAAAACACATGTGAATGTACACAGTAACCCTGAGATCCCAGCAGAAAAAAAAAAAAAAAGAGAAACAACCACTGGAGAGCATGCAGTGATGGTGCCCTACCGAGGCTGGTGTCACTTATAGGCAAGGGTATGGAGTGGGAAGGAATAGCCAAGGAAGCAATGTGCTTTACACCCGGGCAGGCTCTGTGACTTCCTGCTCCACGACTTACAGTCTTTCTAAGAGATGTTGCATGACGAGTCAGTGCACTGAGCCCTGTTTGGCCTGGGGTTGGAGGATAACTCAATAACAGCATGCTCTTTCTCTCCCCCATCCCTTTTCTGTCTCTTCTCCTCCCCCCAGGACACCTAAGAGCATATTTCTCACCAGTGCTCAGGCTGCTTTATCGATGGAGCCCCGGATTCCCCACAACGTCACCGTCGTCCCCAACTCTGTGATGGTCCAGCCCCTGCTGGACAGCCGGATCCCCTACGGGAGGCTGCAGCATCCGCTCACCATCCTGCCCATTGACCAGATGAAGACGACCCACATAGAGAACGACTACACTGACAACCCCACTGCTCCCCTGCCGGCAGCCCCCAAGAGACCCCGGGGTCCCCATGAAGCAGCCCCGAGCCACACGCAGCGCTGCGAGCAGGACGTCACCCACCCCTGGATCTCCTTCAACGGGCGACCCAGCTCCATCAGCAGCAGCAGCAGCACCTCGTCTGACCAAAGGCTCTTGGACCACATGGCCCCGGCACCCGTGGCTGAGCAGTCCTCGCCCAGGGCGGTGCGCATCCAGCCCAAAGCAATCCACTGCAAACCCCTGGACCTGAAGGAACCCGTGTCTCAGGAACTGGATAAGCACTTTCTGCTGTGCGAAGCCTGTGGGAAATGCAAGTGCAAGGAGTGTGCACTGCCCCGGACTCTGCCGTCGTGCTGGGTGTGCAATCAGGCGTGCCTGTGCTCGGCGCAGAGCCTGGTCAACTACTCCACCTGCATGTGTCTGGTCAAGGGCGTCTTCTACCACTGCACCAACGAGGACGACGAAGGCACGTGTGCCGACCACCCCTGCTCCTGCTCCCAGTCCAACTGCTGCGCCCGCTGGGCCTTCATGAGCGCCGTGTCTCTGGTGCTGCCCTGCCTGCTCTGCTACCTGCCCGCCACCGGCTGCGTCAAGCTGTCCCAGCGCTGCTACGACCGCCTGCGCCGGCCCGGCTGCAGGTGCAAGAACACAAACAGTGTCATGTGCAAGGCACTGCCCGAGAGCAAAGCCAGCAGGGCCGAGAAGCCCTTTTGATAACTGGGGAAGGAGGGAGGACGCTCCCCAAGGGGGTGGAGTTGTGTTTTTCGTAACCTGTGTTCTGAGGATAACACGAGCTTTTCGCCTTCAGAGAAAGCAGAAGCGACTATTTCTACAGACTGAAGCACTTCGGGTCATTCAGGGTTTTGGGACTGGTCAGCATTTAACTTCATAGGGCCAAAGGAGGAATCTCAATCACTCGTAGCAAAGCCTGCGAGCCCACATACAACACAATGCACGCAGTGCTCACCGCCAGGACCCGCAGCCGCTCACTTACCGGTGCACCAGCACACACAGTTCCCACCACTGCTTGCAGAGCACCGCCTTGAGCTGACATCCGTTGTGGGATTCCTGTTTTCTCCCCTCCTAAGCCACATTCACTCCCAGCTGCAGGTGGAAAAAGTGCTCCTTCCCCCTGCCCCCAACCACCTGCTCCATTATCAGGGCCACCTGTGTGCAGCAAGCCCTTCCCTCGAGCTTTCTGCCTCCTTCAGAGGGTCTGAACCAGAAGTAGACACGCAGCACAGTGCTGTAGGGGTCTCAGCATTTAGGCAGGTGCTCTGTTGTGTGCTCACCTGCTCACGTTGCTTTGGAGTCTTCAGCAGAACGGGGTACAGGTCTGAGCCGTGTCCCAGCACTGCGCTGCTCTGCCCCGGTCTGTAGCACCAGGTTTCATCCCACCTAATGATGATTTTACGCCAACAGCACAAGCCTGCCCCAAAAGGTTTCAAATCCCATTTCCCTGCCATGTGCTCACTCCCAGAGCAAAAGCAGAGTAAACACAATCTGTGAAGTTCAGACATTCCACGTTTGTTTCTCCAAAACTCTCACCCCCCAAAGGCTGAAGCGCAGGATACACGCAGGAGCATTCGCACAATGCCGTCACCCAGTACCTCCTCTCTGGGACAAGCTCTTTGCTCTTTAGATATTCTTTCTTTTTCGTGCAGGGGGGGATTGGCACTTGCGTGCATCACATCCCACTCCCCTATTTCTATTGCTGCTGTTCAGCTCTTGCACCCTCTGTACAAAAGCAGAGAATGCTTGTAATGTTTATTTAGCATGAGCCCCAGTGGCAGTAACCCCATTGCTCTGACAGCTGCAAGGTGCCAACCAACCACCTTTGCCTGAGCACACCGTGCTGTCCTAAGTGGGTAGGTACTAATTGCATGCTGGAAAGGGATCCAGGCTATCTTTTCTCTTTATTTTTTTAATTAGAGGAAATTTCCTCAGTAAATGCACAGCAGTGACAGTGAAATGTCATTCCTAATTAGCAAAGCAATAGGCAGAGCTCGGGCAGCATTTCCAGGAGTGCCATTTGCTCGGCTGCAATGCAGTTGCTGCGTAGGGGTTGGCAGGAGTGTGCTGATGGGAGGTCTGGTGTCTTTTGTTTTAGGAATCCATTTACCTTGGATGACTTGGGGTTTGGTTACGTTTAATTGTGGATATTTAATGAATGGTGAGTTTTAAAAAAAGTTTCTATATTTATAATATTTGCTAGCTTGTATGTGATAAACTGTAGGAAAGGGGGCACGTCTGTTACCAGATACCAATTCCTATGGTTTATCCTCATGTTGAACATATGGGGACACCAGAAAGAAGGAAGCAGGTGGGGCTGTACCTATTGTCTTGCACAAATGAGAGGGGAAAATGTAAGAGGCAAATCAGCCCCTGACCAGCTGAGCTGTTGGTTGAATGTATAAAGTATAAGTATTTAATAATAGAAATAATTTCCCCAAGATACAATCAGGCCAGAAAATGCAGCAGGAGGGGCAGCTGCTATGGGAGCACACGCAGTAGCCAAATGGCCCCTACCTACAGGTCTCCCCTTTTTGACCCTCTGTCCTTGGCTGTTCCTGAGGGGTCTGTACTGAAAATCTGCAGCAGCAAATCCCATTGCTAGCTGCATGGTTCCTGCCAGGAACTGCAATGTCAGAGTGGTTACCACTGTGCCAACCCTGCGCCGTGCCCGCCCCGTTCCCCAGTGCAACGAGGCTTCCTCTCCTTCTACCTTCATTGTACATAGTTGTAAACTATTTCTCTGTTGGTTTCTTTCGATGCATAAATCCTGCTGTGATGTAAGCCCACCACTTGCTGGAAGACTGTACTGTGTTTGTGGATGTGTTAGAGCAGTGGTCGATGTAGCAGTGCTCCCCCACCCCGGGACCCCGCCAGCTCTGCAGCTCGGGGCAGCTGGGCTCAGAGGCAATAAGGTCCTGCTTTCCCCTCCTGCCCCATCCCAGTGCCTCCCTTCCCCTTTTCCTCTGACGGTACTCGGGTCTTGTGCCACCCCCAGGTCCTCCAGGCGCGGGCTGCGCTGCCTCTCACAGAGCGTTACCCAAAATTGCAGCCCGGTGCCGTGAGACCCATGGGGGGGCTGCAGCAGTGGCCCCAGCAATTGGCACTCACAGCCCCCGGTGCCCCCCGCCTCTCTGCCCCCCACCCCGATCGCGTCCCGCCACACGTGCACCCTGAGAAGTCACCACAGAAGGTTTTTCTTTGTATAGAATATTTATTTTGAAGCTCTATTTTAATAGTATTTATTTTAGAAAGTCTACTATTGTAAGAGTTCTTCTGTTTGTGAAGAAAAACAAGTACTGATGAATGTACTGATCTAGAAATTATATATATATATATATAAATATATATTGTTAAATATGTAAGTGGCTGTTGTGGTTTGACTATAAAAAAAAATAAATCCTGAGGATTGTTTGTAGCAATTATCCTAAAAATAGGAGTGCAGAGCAGCCCCAGGTGGCAGCCCGGGGGCTCAGCCCCGCTCCCATCCATCACAGTGCACAGGAGAACCGGAGCAGGGGAGCTCCTGGCTCTGCCCGCTCACAGGAGCAGTTCTCTCCTTCCCTCCCCACACATCTGGGAAGTCTGGGTTGCTGTTAGACTGCACTTACTGCAAAGCTGAAGCTCAACCCTTCACTTGAATGTTTGGCTGGAGATTAAAAACCAAGAGAGCAGTACTGATCCTACAGAGCCTTCCAGCCATTCAGCCCTATTCCCACTGCTGTGTTCTCATTTCCAGGCTGCACACAATGGCAGTGGGATGGGGATGGGCTCAGGGAAAGGACAGCAGGGCTCAGCACTGCCACTGCCTCCATCCAACACCAGTAGAACAGCACGTGCCTGGCCTCAGGCAGGTGCCAGCTTCCCAATGCCCGAGGCTGCGGGAAGAGAGCCACAGATGTGCTGTCCCATGGGATCTCTGGCACTTCATCTTGCACAGGGCAGTGCGAGCTCCTGCAGCCCTGCACAGTGCACAGCCTTGGCCAGGCTCTGCCCAGAGACCTCCTGAGGCTGTCACAGCATAACCACCAAAACAGCTGGGACCAACTGAGCCACGGGCTGTTGGCTTTCTTTCCCTAAACAAAGGTGGTCCAGTGGTCGAAGCGCTGGTCGGTGCATGCGCCATGAGAGAAATGTCACAGCACACAGGAGAGGGCAGCGGTGCAGCCTGCCTATCCCTGGCAGCACAGAGATTGGGGTTGCTGCAGAGAAATCCCAATCATCTGCATGAAACTTCTGTTCCCCATCACCTTCCAGAACACCCCGGGCCTTTCCATCCTATCTGCAGCAATCCACAGGCAGATGGCCTCCCACCACAACGCTGGGGCACAGACATTTCCTTTGGTAGAGACCCACCGGGGAGCAAAGTTCCACCAGGACTGCAGCAGAATGAGTGCCAGCTCCAGGCAGCACGTTGCACATTGCCTGCTCAGCTAACCCGGCCCGTGCCCTGTCCCCAGCAGCACGCCAGGCTGCTAAAAATAAGGGCCCAGTGAGTTTGTACCCATAGCTGTGTTTATTTACATGAGCTCCACAGCTCAGCTGTGACTCACAGGCAGAAACGCTGCGGTCCTCATCCCCAGCAGCAACCCGAGTGCTGCACCCAGCCCAAAGTGCTGCAGAAAAATAACAGAGAGGCAGCTGCTGAGCTGCACAGGTCCTGACACTGATGCCAAAAAAGTCTGCAACGGGGAAAAGATGCAGAATTTATGTTGTTTTTATTTAAAGCAGACTTAGCCAGGATGTGTAAATTTAAACTCGGGTTTGGCAGCACCGGCTGATGTCTTGCACATCAAGCTTTGCAAATATCAGCTCGGTGCTCACGTCTCTCTGCTGGAAGCACACCAGTGCAGCCTTGTTGATTGGACAGGAGATGTTAGAGTAATAACTTCTCATTCAAAATCATCCCCTTGTTGTCACATTAATTTTGCTTCTGTTTTCAATAACTGACCACTGAAGGGACCCAAGGCTGAGGACAACAGGCTGTGTGGCTCCAGCACAGCCCCAGCTCCTGCAGTTCAGGCCAGAAAGGGAATTTCTGGTGAATCCAAGCAGCCAAACCCCCATTCAGCAGTGCACTGCCTTGGAGGGGATGGGCTGATACTCACAGATGGGTGATAAAAACAAATTCTGAAATTTCCTGTAAAAAATATTCCGTTTGAATACATATTTAATAAACACCTTGAAATTTTTCCAAGGGTTAAACAAAACCTGACGACATGTGACAGTTTGGAATGGCTCCACAGCAGGAGGTGGGACAGGGAGAGCATCCAACATCCCTCCAGTGTGGGGGCTTTTATTTCTCTTCCCTCACACAACAATCATGTCACTTGCACACACACCAACAGGTACACAGTGCACATCCATGCAAAATGAGAGCGGATTGTTGGGAGCAGTTCCCCTTAATGAGCATCCCTGCCCTGCTTACGTGGAAATGAGACAGCAGACAGAAGCTTTGGTTGGTCTGCCCTTAAAATAAAAGAAAAACCAGCTGTGTTAAGGCGGGGTTCAAAGCCTGATGGATGTCACACATGTCCGAGGTTTGGCCCTTGTAAGCAGCAGACAAATGGTCGGGATAGAGATAGATTGCTTTTGTGTTTGGTTTTGCTTCCTGATGCCAACAGCACCCAGAGCAGTGGCAGCCGTGCTGCAAACAGAGCCTGGGGACGCCCTGGGGAATGGAGGGTGGATGCTCGGGTCAGGGCAGAGTGCTGAGAGGAGGACCCTGGGGGTCTGCATTTCAGTTGGGAGCACATAAACAGCCAACCAGCAAATGGAGGAACAGCAGCCACACCTCCTTGTGGAGCCTTCCTCTCCAGTGTGTTCTGAAGAGCACAAAGCCACGGACAGCAACTCACTGCACAGAGACCTGCTGCTCACATCGCCTTCCAATGGGAACAGGGAATAAATAGAAAGTTATGCATGAATAAATCTTTATGAATAAATCATAAAATTGAGTCCTGCTTCACTCCAGGTATGTTTGTGATTATGTCACGCCGTTATGTAACTGGATTTTCCTAATCAGAAACATTATATTCTTGGAGCATGAAACTGGGATGCTCTGCACCACATCACCGTGCGTCGCTTACAGCACTGGTGTGAGCCAGATCCCAAAGCTCCTCTCCCTGGATGCAATGGCCAGCTCCTTCTTTCCTTACACGGATGTCTGTTTCCAGGAAGCCCCTAGGTGTGCTTCTGAATGACCAAAACCTGGGGAAGGACTCGTGCCCATCCCAGCAGGCAATGGTTGCTTTTCCATGCAGATACTCAGCAACATGCTTTAGCTTCTGGTCAGCCCTCCCAGCAGTCAGGCAGTTGGAGTAGATGGTTTTTGGAAGACCCTTCCAACTCAACTGTCCCATTCCATTCCATTCCATCCGATTCCATTCCATCCCACTCCACTAGAAGCAGGACAGACCCCAGCTTTGGAGTAGAAGTATTCCCCTTGGAGCAGCACCAAGTCAACATGAGCAGTACATCTACCTGCCCACTTGTCTAAACCAGGAGAGAGGGCTTTGGCCACGTGGGTGTGCATGAGGTGGGGATGCAAAATATGGACAGAGAGAATTCATTGGGTCCTGAGACAAAAGATGGGTTGGAGAGACCCCAGAAAGGCAGCAGTGTATCTTAGCAGCCCTTTGGCCAGCTCCATTCAAGGGCTAGCACAGCTTAAACGCTGTAAACTGCAAAGGAAACCCAGGATGACAAACAATTGTAGGAACCTGAAACACCAAGTTCCTCTGGATTTCATGGGAAGTGTGGTTTTAAATATTCCAACCTGTCTGTCTGAGGGGAAGTGGGCAATAAATAGCAGCCCGGTTGTTATCAAGAGGATGTGAGCTATTTATAAAAAATTCTTGGGCTTTTTGAACTCTGTTTAAAGAGGCAATATCCTTCACTTGGGTAATTGGGGGACTAAAATGCTAAAGCAAACAAGATTACTCAACCACCTTGGGAAAGTTTAGTGCTTGCCTGTGTGTTTCTGAAATTTCCAGCGTATTTAAACAGCTGCTCCATTATTGTCCCCACATCCAGAGAAGAGCACGAAGAGCTCTTTCAGACCTCCCCTCGCTCAGAGATGCAACTGTGTGCTGCTCCTCCACGCATCCGACCGGCAATCCAGGCAAGCAGCTGAGAGCTGCAATGCTTCATTCCATTATATCTCACTGAAACGAAGTGAAAGGGGCTCCTCTGGGCCTTACAACACATCAGCTTCCCAGGGCCGAATGCTTCCAGCTCCAACACAGCTCAGGGACTGTGGCAGGGATGAGGAAGATCGGCCGCTGCCCTCCTCGTCCTCCTGCTGCTCTCCTGCTGCTGCCCCACGTCAGGATGCGGCCCGGCCCACAGCCCTGAATGCACCCCATTGACAGCTCATTTTATTTTTCTGAGCACGGCCGTAAGGCAGACAGCACTGCTCCTGTGTGGGAACCACACACAAAGTGTCCTGACAAAATGATGGCATCGTCTAAAATACACAAACACGCTCAAAAGAAGGGAAACCATGAAATTAAGGATAACAAACAACAAAGAGAAGCTCATACACAAAATCTGTTGGTGTTTATGAGTCACTGAGGCCTTCCTGTCCCATCTCAGAAATGTGGGAAAGCACTGCAGCCCATCCTCTCTCCCTGCAAACCACTGAGGTGCAGTTTTCCTCCCAGAGCAGGGAGCAGCTCCTGCACAAACCAATGATTATTTGTTCCTCTTTTTTCTTGTCCTTCGAAGTAGGAAGCCAAATCTGAGGAGCAAAAGCTGCATGGTGTGTGAGCAGGGAGTGCAGCTCGGTGATGGGATTGTACTGTGCTCCTGCACAGCCATCCATCACGGGGGGCTTTACAATGGAATGGATGGAAAATGCCAGGAGAAGCCGAAGTGCTCCAGATATGAGGTCTTTGTAGAAGCCCATTCTTTGCTTGTTAACGAAGAATTTTACCCCCTTCCCCTGCCTTTCTCTCTTCAGCAAATGAGGATTTTCTTTCTCCAACGTGTTCTTTTTAACCTCTCCATGCTGGGTCCCTGAGGAGCTGAGCACCACATCCCAGCTCTGCACTTGTCCATACTGCCCACACCCCCAGGTGGGTGGGATGAGCGGGGCAGGCGCTGCGCAGCACTGCCATCACACCGTGCAACCGCTTCTCAACTGCGAGCAGAGGCTGCTCTGCCTGAAAGCTGCTCAGGGTTTGCAGCTTCTGCCTGGAAAAAGATGGAACACACCCATGAGGAATGGGTGACCCAGCAGGACGG